CGTGAATCAGCATGGGCTTAAAAAGGACTAGATCCATTCACAATCCAAGTTCTCAGAACCACTCCCAACTGTAACTCACAGTTGTTGTTTCTCCTATCACTTCGCGTGTATCATCAATGTTCACATACATGAAATCAACTCACTCTTAACTGCATTTTTACGATTGAAGTATCATAATAGATCTCAGTTTCTGTTAGATGGTGGCTCTAGGCTACTACATTACGGATTCATGAATTCAATTAATGTCTCGAAGTTACAAACTTCGAAATACCGACCTATGAGATCGGTATATTCAGTTCAGGTGGTTTCAAAAACCAATTTATTAGTAATACACGATAAATCAATATCTACGAAGTACGGGTACATCGTTTCGCTGCGAACGATGAAATAGAAAACCTGTTTTATGTTATCGAAATAATCAAAAGTACTTAGATCTTTCCCATTTTATTGGTAGGTACAAAATGATTTGTAGGGGTGGAACTGGGGCATCAACAACAAGCTCATAGATTAACGAGTCGTTAATCTATGACAATCTGAAACAATATGAAACGAGATAAAAAATCGATGAAATAATATATGGCCACAATAAACCTTCGAGTCGGGTGTTCAGATATAATGAAAACAATTTCTGAATGATAATCGTTCACCTAATGTTTGGAAGGAGTGCTTCTGACTCTTCTCTCGGCTGAGCCAATCGACACATCAGCCTGCCAGTGCAGCCTGCTAAAGTGATGGAGAAAGCCATCAATATTGAGCTTATCAAATATCTGGAGAGCTCAGGAATCGTCAATGATAGACAATACGGCTTTCGCCACCGAAGATCTACTGGAGATCTACTTGCCTACGTCACCCATTTATGGCAATCTTCAATAGAAAAACACGGGGAATCTCTAGCTGTCGCGTTGGACATATCGAAAGCATTCGACCGTGTTTGGCACGAAGGACTCCTCCACAAACTACCATCATACGGAATACCACCTCAGCTATGCCATCTCTTATTGAGTTTTCTTTCAGGCAGATCGCTTCACGTGGTGGTGGACGGTGTATCGTCTGATACCATTGACATCAATTCCGGCGTTCCACAAGGATCAATTTTGGCACCAACATTATTCCTGGTTCATATCAATGATCTGTTGGGAGTAACAACTTGCCCCATCCACAGCTTTGCAGATGATAGTACCCTCCATACTGCGTTCTCTTCCAGAATTCCCATTTCTTCCCAGGAAACTAAGAACTCACGGCGCAGGCAGGTCGATGCTGTCAATGAAGATCTTGCTGAAATCACAGCCTGGGGAACGAACAACCTAGTTGAATTCAACGCCACCAAAACTCAAGCCTGCATTTTCTCTAGAAAGGCGGAACTCTGTATGCCCGATATTGTAATGTCTGGCTCCAAGATCCCCACCAAGCCCACCATATCTATGCTCGGCATTTCCATCAGCAACACTCTTTCATGGGATAATCATGTCAGATCCATCGCAAAAGCTGCTTCACAAAAACTCGGATTCTTGTTCCGTGCGAAAAGCTACTTTACACCTCAACAGCTTCTCATGATCTACAAAGCGCAGATACGGCCTGTTCTAGAATACTGTTCCCACATATGGGGTTCAGCACCAAAACATACGCTGATGCTCTTAGATTCCATCCAGAGAAGAGCCATTCGCCTGGTGGGTGACACCACACTCACTCACTCTTTGACATCATTGGAACACCGTAGAAAGGTCGGCGACCTTTCACTTTTCTATCGATACTTCCACGGGAAATGTTCTTCGGAAATCTCTGCAATCATCCCTTCACTAGCAATACCAATCAGACGAACTAGACAAGCCCAGTCAGCACATCCTTTCGTTGTCAACCTCGAAAGATGTCGAACAGCACTTTATCAAGACTCCTTCATCCATAGAACGGCTAGGCTCTGGAATTCATTGCCTGTGGAAGTATTCCCAACAACATATAATCTCCAAAAATTAAAAAAAAATTCCAATACCTACCTCCTGTCCCTATATCCTCCCTAGGAACGCACGATGTTCTTTGAACATTATAGGGATTCCCTTTCGTGCGCTCCAATCGATAAAAAAAAAAAAAAATAAAAAGTTGAAGAACTACAGAATATAGCGAATGATAATCTACTCTTGGTGCCAAATTTCAAGTTCTCTTTTCAGAAAATCTACTGCATCGGACGACCTGTTCTTGCACACAGAACTGTGAAAAATGATGAACTTGAACTTGAAGTACATGTGGAAGGGGAAATGGACGGTATCTTGTAGAAGTTCACACTAGCATTAGTGAAGTGGAATTTTGAAGAAAAGAAGAAATGCTCAAAGTAATCTTATTTCTTTCGTTCAGCCCAAATTAGAGGTAATACAAACATTATCATGAGTTGAAACATATAGATGTCAATTAGCTTTATTCTCATGGACATGGAGAACAAGCAAACTTATTTTATCGTGGGTGCCAATGCCCATATTCAAGAATAGTTTCTCCTATTTTAATCTCCATGTCCCGAAAGCCGCAGGCATGATAGGTATGTTCAGGAAATCACTATTCATCTGCTCAAATTCATGATCATGCAGAGCTTGAATCTTATAGAACTGGAGATGGACTCTTTCAAGGCTGAAACATGTTTTCTTGATCATCTGATAATATTTTAGAAAGTAGAGAGAAAACACTTTGAACATTTTCATCAGAGATTTATGATTTATTTCAAGGTGTCATCTGCACCGGAGACTGAGTGAGACTGCTGATAGAAAGCATATATCTAGAGTATCAATTATATTATCATGATATTGTTTGTCCTAATATCAACATGCAACAGTACGTGTTCGTGTTCATGGAATGATGACCAAATAATATTGAGTAGATTGAATTAATTGAACGCCAGTTGAATCATTGACACGGTTTCACGGAAACGTGCTAGTCTGACAATTTCCATTCGTTTTCTGGAATTCAGCATATTCAGCAGTGTTTCATGCTTTGACATTTGGAGTCGACGAATATAGTTGATCGATCATGATATTACTTGTTATCCATGGTGATCCAGAATTGTGGTAACAAATGCCTAGTGGAGAATCCTCTCAACAAATCATGAAAAAAAGTTTATATGAACATGGGTTCAAAAATGCTTCGTTTTCAAGATATAGGGTTTCCAAATAAGAAAGAAAAAGATTTTCTCATTATTATCTTGAAAAAATATTCTCAAGAAAATTTGGAGACATTATACATTTTAGAGAGTGTATAGAATTCAATGTCTCTTTTGTTTGCACACATAATGATATGCTATCAATTTTTGGATAATATCTAAAAATTTTTATTTTTCCCTATGGAGTTCAGAGATATGCCGAGGAATTGTATTTTCGAATACTGTCTGTATTCAGTTCTACAGAATAAAATTATGAGTATTATTTCAATATATGTGTAGTAGGACAAATCATATGATTTGCTCCAAAATGTCAGTTCGTTCAACAAATCATCCTATCAGGGAGCCTGAAAGAAGAATCCAATAGCTTATTGTCAGGAACACATTGTTTGGAATGAGTATGAAGGGCAGAAATATAGATATATTGAAAAATTATCGAATTTTTTTATATGTTTGGACGTTTCGGAAACGAATCTGCTCCCGTTCCCAATATAATTCGAAAATTTTGTTTTAGAGGAAATACCAAATGATCAAGTGAAATGTATGGTATTCTTCTCGAAAACGAAGCAATATACGAAAAAATAGCAGTAGATAAAAATATTGTATTTCCAGAGGGTTCATCTGAATATTGAAGAAGAAAAAATGAACGATTTGCTCAATGGGTTTGCTCCTGGAAATTCTGAATCGAATCTAATAGGTCCAGTAAATGTCTCATAGTTGTCTCAGTAAACCATATAAATTCCAGTCAAATCGGTTTCATCGTTTTCGATATATTGATAAAAAAATAACTTTTTCTCTCGGTAGGTATTTCGAAGAACAAGCATTCTCGAACCCATGTTCATATGAACTTTTTTTTCACATTTCGTTGAGAGGAACCTTCTCTAGGCTTTCGTCACCACAACTCTGAAACACCGTGTATTTTACTTGAATAGCTTTGATTCGTGTAAAACTATTGATTTACTAATATTTTCAAGATATAATAAGTGAAGTAGACCATGGTTCTTTCAAATCAATTGTCCCAAATATTGTTATGTACAACATATTCGGATACGTTATATATGATAGAGATTAGTCCACCTACTTCTTCATATCTCTTTCAATAAAATTCTTCAGCTCTCCGATGAGGTTATCGTCCATTTCATGAGCTGAATTTCTGTTATCGAATTCATTTTGAGTAGGGTCATCGGTGGGTATTACCTCATTTCGAGTACTCATTAGAATTATACCAGAGAGACATTTGTATTAAGAATCCTCAACAATCTTGAGGAAGATCCTAATAATATCTGCAATATAGCTACTATGTCATATCAACTTATCAACTTTAGTCGGCCAAATATGGAATGATATGTTATGAAATGGATTCACACCATGAAGATATTCGGAATTGTTTTGACAATTCATTGAAAAGTCATCGGGATGATATGCTTCTGAAGAATAGTTTGGTGATACAATATTAGAAGAATTTCTTCTTCAAAAAATTGCTTTCATTGTCTATTAGTGACCTCCATCGATAAATTCAATGACCAATTCAGCTCGCTCTCTGTTCAACATACTTTCATTTATAACAATTCTGAACCATTTTCTCCTTCAAACAGGAGCCCTTGATATCTGCATACGAAAAATAGTGGATTCTTCAGATGGAATTAGATTTGTTATCAACTAATTGAATCAGGCGGTTACTAATTCTCATTCGCGTAGTGTCTCCTATAGCTGAATGATTATTCTGTATAGTATATAACGTATTATGGCGAGATACCGACTTTAATGTACCTGTCACTTATTCGTCCTGGTAGAATTCGAAGAAATGATATTTTGTACACAATTGAAACATCAATATTCTGAAGAAAAAAACACTTACACTTACCAACAACAGTGAGATACCCCACCTGGCTCTTCATGGGGTCCGTGTTGATCTGGCACATGTACCAGCCTTGATCGGATTCCCTCACTTCCTTGATGTGAAGATGCCAGATGTTTTGCTCGCTGTGAGATACTCCTATGCGGTTATTCTTCGTGATGACGTGGCTATGTATTGTTAATATCGTTTGCGTATCCACTTTCAACCAGGCTACCTGAAATCAAGAAACAATCAATATCCATTAAATTTGTTTTTGTTCGTGAGTGAGTGAACGTGCTATCCTGCTAAATATTTGAGGGTTTTATCGAATGATGGTTGACTTTCACTAGATGAATTACTGAATTATATTCTGATTCTAATGATATGGTGTTGAAGAAATGAGAACTTGAGTGCTAATGTTTTCGGATTTCGAGATGGGCAATGGGTCGTTGGAAAAAAATGTTTACAGGGAACGGCGAGAGTTGTAACTTGGAAGGGCCATGCACAGATTACATGGAAAAATGTCTTTCGGTGAGAATGGCTGGATTTTCGATATGTTGTAGCTGTAGTCATTCTTTTTCAGAGACTCTATTGGCTCAACTTGATCCCATGACCAGATTCGGTGCTAGAGGGTGAATCATCATGAATTTCCTGTATTTTTAGACTGTGGTGCTGAATGAATAATATGGAAATACCATGATATGGATTCAAAATATAACGTCTCAAGGCAAGACAACAACTTGATCTTTATTTGTTGGAGGTGGGTAAATTTCTATGGTACAGAAATGATGCGATAGCCATAGCATTCGCTTTGGCTGATTTATTGAGTTCCTTAATGCAGATTGATCAGAATGAGCGTTGACCAAAACAAAAACAGAAAACATAATTATGGATACAGAGTGATCCAAATATCATAAGATACCAATATGTCCTATATGATGTTATTCTCTCAAACTTTTTTTCGGAATACAACAGGAAGGTTCACGAACATTCTCACTTTGTGCCATTATATCCAAATGCAGAAATTCACGTAATTTCATCAAGAGGAATTGGAAAAGATAATGGATCCAATACATAGAAATGTATCTTGAGACGAGATGGTTCGATATGCAAAAGATGTGCATGATTAAAAGATGTTTGTGTCTATGAAGTTATATCCTCCTGATTAACTTTCGAGCGGCTGGGTTTTCAATTTTTTTGTTAAAATAGTAATTGAGTGCTACATTTTGATTCCAACAGGAGATGTCTATAAGGAAAAAATTCCAAAAGAGAGTCACCAAGAACCAGGTATGAGATTTCGAACATTGCCATCTGCCATTTTGTTTTGGATGAATAATTCTGACTGACATTCATCATATTAGACCTAGGGAATGCTGCCACTGTGAGGGTTAGGACAATATATTTGCAATGAAGATTACCAGATTCTGATATTGACTTCTGCTTCGAAACATCATCATGTATCATGTCAAGAAGTTGTGAACTGAAATATCACCATAAGCATACCAAATGTACTATATCGCACCAACCTATGTGCGCACATATATGAGTCCATGGTCCCTAAACCCTGTATACATGTGCCAACTATCAATCAATCCATTCCAACCTGGTTCCTGGACTCATCTACCCCCTTGTATTGAATTATTGAAAGCTACCCATTCATGTTATTCAGTAGAATCACGAAATATCTCGCTGCGCCTGCTGGATGTATGAAGGAAATTGTTTCACTTGATAAATTCCACTGTTCGACATCTGCTGTTTGCATAGATACATTCAGTGGCTTGATACCTAATCATTATTGCTTCATAAATACTATATACGGAATCTCCAAGATTGCAGGTACAGTGTTTGGAAATCTTTTGACTGAATATTTTGAGAATGAATTTCATACGGCTATTTCTGGATTCAACAATCCTACCTCAACTCATTCGCATTATCAGTTGACGATTACCTCTTTGTATAGGAATTATGATAGCATTTCATCTATTCAGATGATCAGCGTTTCTGTACCCGCAATCTGCAATAAAAATGTCAGCATCTTGAAATCATTGGCACATATCATCAATCATCAACATTCCTTTCAAATTCTCTCCTCAGAATTTCTGCATCCTTATTCCTGACATTTGAGAAATATGGATCCAAGATTGTTAATATGTGGCCATCTGATGCTATCATCCCATCACTGGCTATAATATCAGTCGAACGAACTCGACAAGCCCAGTATGGAGCTGTGGAATTCTTTACCAATGGAAGTATTATCTTAAAAGGAAAAGAAATAATATCTACCTACCATCTCCCTCTATACTTCACGATGTTTATTGAACATATTAGAGAATTAATTCAGTGCGCTCCAAAAGGTAGAGAACACTAATCATTTGTGGTTCCACCAAATGATTGTAGAGTGTACATACTGATACGCTGAACATCCACATGAGAATGCGGGTATCAATAACTATCAAATGCCAGCCCTCGACGACATCGGTAACTGACAACAAGAGTCACAGAGTGACCAGGTACTATCAGGTAAAAATAATCAGATTGATGATCATTACTGCACATGCGAGCAAGGTTCTAGTACTCTGGGATCATGTGCGCACATAGCCAGTGTGCTGTGGTTTCTTGGGTAGGTATAGGTATGCTGGATATGATGGTAACATATGATTACCCAGATCTCAACTTCTTTACAAAACATATGACGCTTTAAAGGGTTTTCTTCAATACTGCTGCTAGCACCAATATATGCACTGATAGTTCAATATCTTATTACATTTCATCATTTTTTCAAATCCCTGTTGAATGAAAAACATATGGATTTCTGCATACGGATATAAGTGAACAGAGAGTAGGAATGATCGTAAATCGTTTTGTATTTCGTAAGAAAGAGAATAATATCGAAGAAAATATTGATATCTTTTGTAATTTGGTTCACTCTCTATTGCGTGCTATTGCTTATTATATTCTTCCATCCCGGTCAACGTTCATTCTGATTGATATTCATCGATGCACTCAATAAATCTGCCATGTCTCGTCGGCGAATGCATTCGCATTCTCTGAAGATCAGTGTGATGAAAATAACCCTGTAACAGGGCTATTGTGCCATTTTCCATTGAGCTCCGCAGTATCAAAACTACACGAAATTCATGATGTTTCATTCTTTAGCACCGAATCTGGTCATAGGATCGAGTTGGGCCAACGAGTATTTTTTCACTATATAAGAATAACTTCAGTCACAATATATCAAAAATTCAGCAATATTCACCGAAAGACACTTTCTCTCATATAATGTGTGCGTGGTCCTGTGAATTGCAATATTGTGATTTTGTTTATTCTTCAACAAAAAAAGCCATTACATTACTTCTGGCCTGACCGGAAGCGACTCTAACTTTTGGTTTCCGAATAGGACCAGCATATCACACACACAAAACAGAAGTTGAGTTATAAATTTCAAGTTCACTCCGACCAGAACAAAATGCCCAAGTGTAATTTGGTAAGACAAGATAATGAACACGTACTCGCAGAGTCTCTAAATCGCGACATTCCACAGATTGGATACTTTTCTGATATTGGAAAATTGAGAAAAATACACATAAACGCAAGATTCGTTCACAATTCTGGTTGTCATGGTCATGGTCATTCATTTATATTTGAGGTATATTCAAGTATAGAGAAAGTGATATTTGTTCATCATTGACAATATGTTGGCCAAAATCAAGCACCACCTCGTCATCCTGGGTGATAGCATCTGTGACATGGGCTTCTTGGAATTGAACAAACCAACCAGAGGCTTGTAATCTGTTTACCCGGAATAGTCCTTTTGTTGTATTCAACGTAAGCGCCTCTGCCGTCTCTTCATCCACTCGTAGCTGCTGGTGAGCCTGTGCTAGATCGATCTTACTGAAAATCTTTCCGCCCGTGAAGCACATCCTCATCTCCGCTAATGTCGGAAGAGGATACGCCGACTGTAGAACGGCCTGATTCACCGTACTCCTGTAATCGCCGCAAAGTCTTACTTTGTTTGGCTTCACTACAACGACAAGTGGAGTGGCCCATTTGGAGTGTTGTACTGGTGTCAAAATTCCTTGTTGAACCAGATTCTCCAACTCTCTCTCTACTCTAGGTTTCAGAGCAAATGGCAACGGTCTGTACTTCAAAAATTTAGGCTGAAAACCTTCTTTCAACTGTATTTTTACTAGAGGACCTTTGTGGCCTGTGAGATTGCCGTCCAAAAGTTCTGCGAAGTCGTTTATTATACTACTGTCATGATTTGGCTCAATACGATTGATACCAGCTATTTTTATTCCCAGTACAATCATCCAGTTTCTTCCTAAGAGGCTGCTTCGTCTTCCAGACCCAACCAATAACGGCAAATGGTGAGTCTTTGACTTGAACTGGACTATAACTTCGCCTTCCCCTAGCAAATCAACTTCCTCTTCTGTCCACGTCTGCAGCTGTAGGTCCGTTGCCTGTAGAACGACTGGAAAGTCTTTGGACAATTTCTTGAACATGGTCTCTCCAATAATAGTATTGGAACACCCTGAGTCCACTTGCATGTCTATTTCTACCCCATTAACTTTCATTTTCACCATTAAAGGTGAGGTACTGTCCTGTATACAATTAATTCCGTAAAAGGAGTCTTCTTTTTCTTCTACTGCATTCGCTGTGCTACGTTTTTCTTGTTGATGCTTTCGATTGTTCTGTTCGCTGTTTTTCTTTTCCTCTTTACCTCCTTTTCTGGGTAGATTCTTCCGTTTCGCAAAGCATGCTTTCTCTACATGGCCTGTCTTGTTGCAATAATGGCAAGTTTCTTTAGTTGCCCAGCAATTCTCCACTTTGTGATTACCCGTGCACCTCCAGCAAGGTCTGACACTTCCTGATGGGTTGCTTGCAGGTAGTGCTCGAGGTTTTCTCACTTCAGTTCTGTAGACCGTCTTATCTTTCATCTGTTCCACCTGTTTATTTGCTGCTTCCATGGCTATTCCTAGCTCCAACGCATTTTTGAAAGTTAAATTTCCGTCTGCAAGCAGTTTCCTCTGTAAAGCTTCGTCGCTTATTCCCACGACTAACTGATCCCTCAGTTCCGTTTCCAAGGTCTGAAAGTTGCATCCTTCAGCCAGCTTTCGCAGTTCGGCAACATAAGTAGTAATAGCCTCACCAGGTTTCTGTATACGTTTCCTAAATCGAAAACGCTTCACAATTTCATTGTCCTTTGGTTGAAAATGTTGTTGCAGATTCTG